TAGGCAAACGGAAGGCAAACTGTGAGGGAAGGTGTATAGGGCTAGGGTGATGACAGTGGCTAACATAAATAATGCTGATACATATATTTCCTTGAGTGCTACATGTAACCCCAACCTGTGGTCCTATTTCAGGTGGCCAGCATTCTAGAAATCCCAGGTTAGGGTTGCTAGCTAGCATTTGTGTAATGGCCAAAATTTCATCACATTTAACTCAGATTTCAAGGGATAAGGCCAAGTAAAAAGACACTGAGTGATTAAATAACTGAAACTGACTTATTCCCTGACAGCTTGCTAGGAAATGCATCATCATACACTCATGTAACATGTATGATATGCACCAGTTGCATGTCTGCATTTGTGGCCAATCCACTGGCTCCATATATCTTCTAGTTGAGAATGAGTCAGGAAGTTGATCTAAGAATATATGATTCTTCCTTCTTCTTTAGTTTTTCCTTATTTCTTAATTTCCTGACATCTTTATTAAAGTGGTGTTTTAAAAAATCATTTATGAAGTACCTATTATGTGCCAGGCGCTGCACTAAGTGCTTTTGAAATACTATTTCATAGTGCATAGAGATCTATTCTTAGAACAGGGAGGGCTGGGATTTGAGACTCAACCCTGACTCATACAAGCTATGTGATTCTGGGCAAATTCCTCAATCTCTCAGTGCCCTAGGCAACTAAGACTATAAGTTGCAGAAAATATGTTGACCTCCATACTAGGAGCTTCCTACACTAGGAAATCAAAGATCTACTTTTTTAAAGTTGCTTTGGGAAAAAAAATGACAAAAAACTTTAATGAGCTTTTTTTTTTTTTAAGAGGAGTGACCATTTTCAGGAACATATGAGCCAAATTCCAGGTTTCTTGGTCAATTCCCTAAATTTTTCTGTATTTTTTTAGGAAAAAAAGTTTTAACCCCATTTATCTCTGCTCTTCATTGCTACTTTCCATTAGTGTGATCATCAGAGGTGAAGATGGCTAAGGTGGCAGGTGCCCTGCAAGGTAAGGTACTGATCTTACTGAGGAAGAAAGAAAACAGCAACAGCATTATTAAGGAAAGAAAGGTTACAACATCATTCTTTCTCACTTCATGTGTCCGTCAAATGGCAAATTTTATTTTGTAAACAGTTGAATTAGCAATCAATCACTGACAGTTTTGTAGCTATATTTCAGGAGTATTTTTCCTACCCATAGACAGAATTTTTAAGAAGATAGACTCTTTCTTGAGGATGTTGCTACCAACTCTCATAAAACATCTAAGAGATCTTAGAATAAAAATGATTATAGCTAAAAAAGACTTTAATTCCTTTGAATAATATTCTAAAAATGAAAATAAAGAAATAACAGGTGCTAAGCCTGTGAATGAATGACAATTTGAAAGGAAATATTGAACACTGAAGCACATTTCACAGGAGTCATTTCTCTGACTCCTGGGCTTTATGGGGTTAATAGCACCATTTGGAAATTCAGTCCAGTCCCTTGAGGCGAAGTTTTTTTCTTTCTGAATTTTCATATAAAAATGTTAATAGCTACTTTGGAAATTGAAGTCTCATTTATCTGTACCTGAATACGTGTTTAAAATCTAGGTCATAAGCAACTCATGATGTCATTCTAGAAACTTGTATCTAAGCCACTCATCCTTCTCTCTTAATAATCACAAAATTGTTTTGTCTGCTTTTCATAGACATAGCAAAAAAATAAAATAAAACACTCAGAAGAAAGAAATCACATCCACATGAACATCCCCACGATCAGAACTCAAAGCCAAGCATTTTTGAACTCTGGAGATAAGAGGGACAGTTAATGCCTGTTAACAACTTCCAATGTTTATGCTCCTGTGATTTATGTTCAATTTAAAACAACTAAGGAAGACATATTTCATTTAATCAAAAACACAGGCAAGGCTGACTTATTAAAATGCATTAGTCCTTCTTCCTATGCCAGATCAGAACTTCCCTCAGAAAATCATGCAAAAATATATACTTGAAACACAATCATGAAAGAAGCTTCATTCTAGCGGCCAGCCCCCCTGTGTGCAAAGTCTCTTCTTAATATGGTGAACCAGAAAGTATATCAGCTCTGGAGATCTGCATTGATCTTCAGTCAATTCCCTCTTTTCACACTTTACCTGTGTGAATCAAGCAAGTCATTTGACTGGCCTGGGCCTTTGTGCCTTTATCTGTAAAATGAGGGGCTGAACCAGTTGGCTTCTGATGTCCCTTCCAGCTCTAGGCCCAGGATTAATGAGAGATTAGTCCACTTGTAAGTTCATCCTCCCTTAGAGATCATATCCCCTAGTCTCTTTACCTAAGATTATGTTGGATATTCAACACTGAAAAGTGTTTACAGGAGTATACAAAGTCACCCACAGGTTATTCAAAAAATTTGACTAATACAACCCAAGTTCTTGGCAAGCCTCTACTGTATAACAGTATGCTCAATAGCTCTTTAATCTGAATTTCCATTGAAGGGTGAATATGTATTAAGAAGAAGATGATTAGCTTTTGGAAACTGTATACCTTTGGGTGGGTCTGCAACTAATTTTATTTTAAAATGCATCTTATTAGTGCCTTTTGTTTTCACATTAGAGTCATTTCTGCATATATCTCTGTCCCCTTCCCAGTTTGAACCCTCCTTTGTAAAAGGAAAAAAAAACTGAGCAAAAACAAGCAATGGCAGCGATTGACAATATTTGCAACTGTCTGCCCTAGTAGCCCCCCGTTTCTCTACTGAGAGGAAGAAGTTACATTTCCATATTTGTTCTCTGGGACCATTATTGGTTTTTCAGTTACTCAAGGGTTCAGCCTCCTTTCACTGATCTTTTCCTTTACATTGTTGTATTCATTCTGTACACTATTCTTCTGGTCCCTACATTTTATTTTGTAACTGTCTACCTATTTATTAATAAAAGGAAGGTGTTCTGACTGCTGGTTTGCATACAGCTTGACCAGTTTGCTGTATCACTTCCTCATGGCACACCTCAACGACTCAGTGATTCTGAGCTCTCTTGTATTCTTAAGAAATGATTGGTGCTTGAGTCCAGTGATAGTCTGGGCTGTGGAATATCAAGGGGAAGAAAAAAAATGAAGACCAAAACAAAACAGATATAAAACCAAGCAAAAGAGTCTTGTTTTCCAACTTTCATGGCATGAAAAGCTGGGAACGTTTAATAGTTTACTTTCATGAAAATGTGAGCTCATTCAAGTATATGCCCATATTGAAGGAATCTTATTCTTTCCACTGACCTACATCAGATTAGCAACTAGAGGTTGCTATGCTTTGATGGAAGATTTACTGTGACCTTGTTCCTTCATTTATTTCTTCTTTTCTCTGGCCCTAGAATGGCTTCATTTCTAACAGCTCTTGGGTGAATGGTGCCAATGGAAACAGCTCATGCAAAGTTTATCATGTTAAGAAAATAACAGAAATTAAAAGTGAAGGTGGCATTTGGGGAAAGACTCAGTTTAAGGATTTCCTAAGCCAGAGCCACCACTTGTGAAGGAGCTATATGGACTATTTATAAAATGCTAAGCACAGTGCCAGGTACAAAGTACACACTGAAAAAATTCTTGCTTGTTCCCTTCCCCTATACATCAGTAAAAACACAAACAGAACTGGACTTGAGGCGGCTGTAAGGTTGTTGGCATGCTGGAGGTGTGGTGAAAAGGGCACTGGTTCTGGAGTCAGAGGATCTAGGTTCAAATCCTCTGACACTAACTACCTATGTGATCTTGGGGAAGTCATTTAACTGAGACTCAGTTTCCTAATCTTCACAATGAATGAGGGAGTTGGACTAGTTGGCCTTTAAGGTCGCTTCCAGTTCTAAATTTATGATCTATGACCAAAGTGAGTATTTATCCCCCTAAAATATAGCATTTCTTGAGAAGCATGATGGCATAATGCACAGAGAACATACCACAGTGACAAGAGAAAGCCTGCATTCAAAGGGACATATAGGCTGAGGGACCCTAGGCAAGTCACTTAACCATGAGATGTTCAGATTTAAAGAATCCACCCAAAATGTTCCCATGGGCTATTTGTGCCCAACCGGTGGTGGAGCATTCCTAGCTCATACTGGTCTGATCGGCCAGCTGGACACACTGTAATTTGACTCTGACATAGTGATGTCATTTTGGTCCTCTTTGAGAACAAAGGACAACAGCCAACCAACCAGTGTCTCCCGGAGGTGCTCTGAAACTCTAGGTTGTAGAGAAGAGGCTGAATTGTTTAGGTAGACGAAATTCTTTAAGCAGACCTGCCCACAGAGATGAAGTCATAGGTCCCATCCAAAAACATAAGAAAAGATATACTGTTAAGTTGGCCAACACGTTCTGGCTCCTCAACACATCATGCCTTGGGCTATCTCCAGGTCTGCCACGACCTTGGCCAGGCCCTGTACTCTTGTCCGAGATCCAGGGCCGTGCTGTATTTCTAAGCCCTCCTTTCATTCTTTAGCTGATATTCATATTCAGGACACAATTTTCTGATCCAAATGATTAAGTTTTCCCCTCTGCCTCTCATTCTTTGGTAGAATATTTAGGTCTCTTCCCAGTTGCTTAATTCTGGACGATTTATAATTTATAATAAGCATGGGAAGGTTCAAAATCATCTTTGCTCCATGGATCACACTTTTGCCTACGAGACAAAGACACCAGGCCTATACCCCAGCATGCACAGCTCGCTGATTCTGCAGAAGGAATGATCGATCACACTTTCTGGTCTTTTCAGGCAAAAAGGCAGAGTAATCCCCTAGATTTTTAAGCCTCCCATTTAAATCCCTGTTTCAGTTATTTGTTTTGTTTGAATTGTCCCAGACCTTCTGCCCCTTGGCGGAGTGGGAGAAGTAGTGGAAAGACTCCCTGGCTTGACAGCCAAAGAAGAGACTATTCTGGCCAACTGGTTCATTCACCAGATAATTGCTTCCAGGCAGTTTTAGTTCTAACCAGGTAGAGAATTTAAAATGAGGAGGATTTTATAAAACCACGCAGAAAATACTCACAGTTTTGGTTTGGCGAGCAGCGGAGGTGGCTCCTTTGTGGGTGAAAGCAGGGCAGCTGGCTTTGGGGCAGATTTCTTACTGTTTGCTTTGCCATTAATCAGTCCATTTACTCCGTGGCTCAGATGGATGCCATTGGTTTCCCTCCTGGCAGAGTTGAGTTGCAGTTGAAGGCCTGCCATGCCTAGTCCAAGCTCAGGGTGGGTCACTGGCTGGCTCTCTGGAGGTTTCTCTGGAGTCATCTCAAAGGAACTGATCTCTAAAGGTGGAGGGGGAGGTGGATCATGTTGGAAATCATCACTGTTGGATTGTCTTATGGAGTCAGGGCCACAGTTTTCTATGTTGGCTAAGGAAAGGAGGGAGGAAGAAAAAAAGAAGAAAGGGGAAAAAATAAGACACTCCAACTCCAAGAAGTTATTTTCATACTATACAAGATCTTTTACAAACATTGAGTGCTGTTAATCCATCAAAAGACAAGTGACTACAGTGCTCCTGCATGATGTCCAGACAATGCCAGCTGGATATTTCTTCTGAAGGACTTTGCTAACTTCCACATTTGCTTCAAATGACCACTGACCACTAGAATTCAGATTATGTCTTTGTAAGGGGAAACCAGCTACTGCTTATTTAGCAGCAAGAGAGCTTGCAGAAATTTCTAACAAAGGATGAAAACAGAATTTGATCAGTGTTGAATATGCTAATGAATCAACTAATAAACTTTTATTAAGGACCTACTATGTGTCAGGCACCATGCTAAATGCTGGGAATATATACAGAGGCAAAAGACAGTCCCTGACCTCAAAGAGCTTCCAATGTAGCAGTGGAGACAACAAACATATACATCCAAATAATCTATAATATAGGATAAATAAGAAATAATTAAGAGAGGGAAGACACTAGAATTAAAAGGGGTCAGGAAAGGCTTCTTGTAATAGAAGACTTTAGTTGGAATACAAAGGAAGCCAGAGAAACCAGTTGGCAGAATAGAGGTGGGGAGCATTGCAAGCATGGGGAACAGTCAGAAAAAAGACCCAGAGCCTGGAGAGAAAATGTCTTGTTTGAGGAAGAATAAGCAGGTAGTGTCACTGGATAGAAGAATACTTAGTGAAGAGTAAGATGTGAGAATATTGGAAAGGGAGGTGGGGTGGGTTAGGTAATGAAGGGCTTTGAAAGGCAAATAGAAGATTTTGTATTTGATCCTGGAGGTAATGGGGAGCCACTGGTGTTTCTTGAGTTGAGGAGGTGACATGGTTAAACCTAGACTTCAGGAAAATCATTTTAGTGGCTGAATGGAGGATGAATCGGGTTGTGGAGAGACTTGTGGTTGGCAGTTAGGTGGCAAAGTGGACAGGATGCTGGACCTGGAGTCAGGAAGACCTGAGTTCAAATCCAGCCTCAGATACATACTAGCTGTGTGACTGTGGGCAAGTCACTTAACCTCTGTTTGCCTCAGTTTCCTCATCTATTAAATAGGGATAATAACAGCACCTACTTCAACAGGGTTGTTATGAGGATCAAATGATTGTAAAGCACTCAGCACAGTGCCTGACACATAGTAGTAAGTGTGATATAAATGTTAGCAAACAATACCCACCAACAGGCTATCGCAGTAGTACAGGCTTGAGGACCTGCATTATAGTGGTGGCAGTGCTGGAGGAGAAAAGGGGTCGTGTTTGAGAGATGTTACAAAGTTAAAGCTAGCAGGCCTGGTAACACTGCTTTTGTGCATCTGCATTTTACATGGGGGGAAGTTGAAGAATTCAGTTAAGGGACCTGCTTGAGATCTCAGATCTCAAAGCAAACCTAGTCCATGCAGTTGGAACATCTGTGTTTGGCCACGGTGTTGTATAGACGTTGATTGATTGCGGCAGTATGTAGGAGGGTCACATCAGGTCAAGCACAGGGAAAGGCCACAGAGCTCATAACAATAATTCCATTAGACATTATATTCACAGGACCCTAAGGCAGGGACACTGGGGCTTTGCCCAAGAGCGTCAACATCCATGGAGGGGAGGGGGAATATAATTCCTTCCCACGGTGCTCTTTCAGCTTGCTTCTCCATTGCTTTATGGCCAGCCGCTGGCCCTGAGCCTTACAGTGTGATTGCCTCCCCTCTTCTGTTGGGCTCTGGACCCTGCCAAGGGTCTAGTCATTGTCATATCCCTGTCCCAAAATTTGAGCATGACCTCATTCAACCTGGTCAGACTGTCCTGTTTAACTCTCACTGTGCTGGGATACCCTGGCCTAACCTGGCTGGACCATGTTCTGTTCCCTCACTCAGTAGAATCCTTCTATCTCAGTAGACCCAGACTATCTCCAAGTCTCTGTTTCTGACACCACTGAGTTTACTCTAGGCACTGGAATTCCTAGCTGTGGTTTTAATGTCACATATTTCTCTGACTCCCTGAAATTGAATTAGTGATTCTTGCATTATTGCCGAGGCCATCCTGTAATATGCCCAGTATGTTGGTGGAAGAACCTACATTCAGGCTTCTTCCTCAACTCTAGCCCTTACATCAGGCTTTACCCCTGCATTGAAGAATGACTCATTCACATCAGCTCTTCGCATGCTGTGCTGGGCCTTGTTTTTCTGCTCTTAATTGGGAGGAGCCATGGGAGCCCACAATCACCATTCTCCTATCTCTTTACTTCTTTTTGTCTTGCCTCTGCTGCCACCTAGCACCAAGTTCCCACTCTCCAGGAATCAGAAAAGGATGTCCAGTGCAACTCCAGTTCATCAAACAACAAATCTTGATTGATGGCCCGCTATGTACAAAGCACTATGCTAGGCAGGTACTGTAGGGGAGACTGAGAAGTATTGAAGAAGTTTTCAGAAAGGTAATGACTGAGAGAGGAATGTAATGAATACTCAGGCTGAAATAAAATACTAAGAGGAGATAATCATTTTCACATTAAACTGCTTATTTGTGAGTTTATATCAATAACATTTCCTGCGTCTGTTTCCACCCCCATCTTTCCTCCCGGAGAGAAATCTTCTATAAGAAAGGAATTTTTAAAGGGGGGGGGCAGTTCAGCAAAACTAGCCAACAGATTGAAAAAGTTTGACATTATATTTAGTGTTCCACACCCGCACTCTCACATCGGAAAAGAAGTAGGGAAATGTACCTTCTAAAATCTCTTCTTAGGTGCCAAGTTTGGCCATTTGAATTGTTTTTTGGCATCCTTCTTTCGAGGTAGTGGGGGTTAAGTGACTTGCTCAGATTCACACAACTAATAACTGTCTGAGGTCATATCTGAACTCAGGTCCTCCTGACTTCAGGGCCAATGGTCTATGCACTGCACCAGCTAGCTGTCCCCACATTCATTGTTGTTTTTTCCCCAAACAGGAGCAACAAACCATGCTGCTCTCTTCACAGAATGGCTGTGTGTAGTTGCTGTGAAGTTTAATTTCATAGATTAAAAAAATCATTTCTCTTTTCTCATATTAGCTCCCTTCCTGTGCTTCCCTTTCTGGAAGCTTCACTGATGACCAACTACACATATGTCTGGATCTCCTGCGTGGCTGTTTCACTGTGTCCTGCTGCCTCAGCTTCAGCTGTTAAACATTAGCAGGATCTGATCCATTAGCTTCTGAGCTTCTATGATAATTTTCTATGATGCTATAATCCTGGAATACGTTTCTGGAGTATTTTAAAGATTTGTGAAACATGTTCCTCAGAACTAAGCACAAGACAGGTAGAATGAGAATTATTATCCCCTTTTTGCAGTAAGGGAAACAGAGGCAGAACTGGAAATCTGTGGATTCAAAGAACACTGGTAATACTCTTTTCTGTGATACTTTACAGAGTTTTTATCTCTGTGTGTGTGTGTGTGTGTGTGTGTGTGTGTGTGCATGCGCATGTGTGTGCCTAATGCTTACCACATGGCCTTGAAAGCTCCTCTCCTATTTCTATGCCTCCCCATCAAAAATGGCTTTTGTTTCCACTTCAAAAAGTTGCTAGTTAGGAGAAGTGAGCAAGACTTAGAGAACTATTTCTTGAAGTACAGTAGTTATCTTCTGAAGTAATTAGTTAGAATTCTGCATGCTGCCACAGGAAGTGATCTAACATCATGGTACAGAAACTCTGCATTTCCCTATTGGTCGTGTACCTGAGTTGACAACTAGCTCTGCGGTGCTGGTTACAGATCCATATTCATTTCTTGCAGAGCAAGTGAAGACTCCTGCATCCTCAGGAAAAGTCTCTGCAATGACCAGGGTACAAATCTCCTCTGGAAAAGAACAGAGATTATTAGGTCAGCCCACAGGAGTGAAATGAAGGCACTCTGTTAAAAAACTGGAAAAAACCCATTCTAATTTGTAAAAAAAAATTATCAGAGAATGATAATTAGTCGTACAAAAGGATCTTTTAATTTAAGAAGTTTTCAGTCAAATTCTTAAGGGATATTTCCCCTCCTGCCTATACTTACATATTCCAATGATCAGTCAACAAATATTAATTAAGCACTTCCTATGTGCCAAGCATGGTGCAAGGGACTGGGGTCACAAATAAAAGGAATGAAAAAAGCTTATATTCTAATGAGGTGAGATGATAAGTACATATCTAGATATATATGTACTCTACATCTCTGTCTCTCTGTCTCTGTCTCTGTCTCTTTCTGTTTCCAGTATCTTAAACTATTTAGCAGAAGAGTTAGCAGGAGCTTCTCTCCTCCACAACTCTGAACTGCTTTTTATTATCAGGCATCTCTTTCTTCTCCCTTCCATACAGACAGGACAAGATGGTGCCCTTGCCAAAAATAACCCTTAATCCTTTGTCTCATCCTGTACCTTGATTTATTGATCATCTCTATTCTCTTTGGACTCTTCAATTTCTCCTTTACTGGCTCCTTCCCAACTGCCTACAAATATGCTCAAGTTTTCCCATCCTAAAAACACCATTTTCCTTTGACTTTGTCACTGCCTCAGGCTAACACCCCTTTTCCTTCTTCCCTTTTTCCTTTAAACTTCTAAGTATGCTTCATATTCACTGTTTTTACTTCCTCACCACCCCCTAAACTCATCAACCTCTAGCAATCAATCTCCTATGCCTACCACTCTAGAGAAACAGCTTTTTCCAAGGTCACTACTGACCTGATTTAACTTCCAAATTTAGTAGTCTCTTCTCAGTCCTCATGTTCCTTGGCCTTGTTGCTACCTGACACCACTGACTACAACTATTTCTTAATACTCTCCTCCTTTAGCTTCCATGATGCTGTTTCATACTAGCTTCATTTCTACCTCGATGGTCATTGTGTTGCCTTTTCTGATGGTGGTTTCTTTTCCTTTGTGAAGCTTCTTTCCTGGGAACTCATCTCTTCTTTCTCTACGTTTTCTTCTTTGTTAATTTTATTCACTTCCCTAGCTATTGTGATGACTTCCATTCAGATAATATTAACATTTATCCCCAGCCCTGACTTCTTTTCCCAGGTCCAAATACATTTGTCTAGCTGTCATGTCTTTAGCAGAAATGTCTCACTGCAACTTCAAACCTGGCCAAAACTGACCTTGCTCATAATTTGCTCCTTTTGATGTCACTATTTTTTTTTTTATTGTCAGTAGTACCTACATTTGCATAATAAGCAATATTCAAAAGGTCAGCATCACTTTTTGGAATCATTTCCCTCACCTCTCATACCCAATTAATTTGTTGTGGTTGTTCAGTTGTTCCAATAATATGCAACTCTGACCCCATTTGGGGTTTTCTTGGAAAAGATACTGGAGTGGTTTGCTATTTCCTTCTCCAGCTCATTTTACAAATGAAGAATTGAGGCAAACAGGGTTATGTGACTTGCCTAGGGTGACACAGCTAGTAAGTATCTGAGGCCACATTTAAACTCATAAAGATGAATCTTTTTGACTCTACTGTACTACCTAGCTGCCTTCCAATTAATTACTAAGTTCCATAAGTTTTATCCTCTGAAGTTTTCCTCATATCTATCCTCTTCTTTCTGTTATTGTGGCCATTACAGTAGTGGCTTTCATTTCCATATATGTGGACTACTGCCAAAGCCTTCTAAAAAGCTTCCCTTCCTTCATTCTCTTCGCTTTTAAGCCACCCTTCATACTGATGCCAGACTTAACTTCCTTATTTATGAATCTGGCTATGTCTCTCCTTTGCTCAAAAGTCTTCCATGGCTCCCCAGTGTCTACTGAGTAAAGTTCAAACACATTCACCTCATATTCAAGGCCCCCTACCGTCTGGTGTCATCTTACTTTTCGAACTTTATGTCATATTAGTTTTCTCCATGGTCTTTGTACTCTATTCCAAATGGACTAATTTACTCTCTTCTGAAAATATCCTTGAGTTCATAAACTTCCATGATTCTGCTCATGATTTTCCCCATAGCGGAAATATCCCCTTTCCTACCTGTTGATGTCTTACTTATGAAGCCCAATTCAAAGGCTGCCTTCTTGAGAAAGATTTTCCTGATTGCCTCTCTCAGGAGTGACCTTCCCGCTAAAGACCTTAGATAACTGTTTTACAATTCTTTAATCCATGTAACCTTACTCAATGTCCTATCAGCAGGTCTGATACTATGTTAGCTATGGAAAAGATGGGATTTGTTGGTAAAAATGTGATTTGCACATAATCTTCCTAGAAGACACAGGGGAACAGAAAAGCAGAGTGGAAACAATACTGGATTTAGTTAGAAGATCTGGGTTTGAGTACTGGTTGGCTATCTATTTAGCTGTGTTACTAAGTCTAGGCAAGTCACTTATAGTCTCTGAGCCTCGCTTTGCTCATCCACAAAATAGGGAGGATATTTGAAGAGCCAACTCTATAAGGTTGTTGTTAAAAAAAAAAGAACTTTTAAAAACTGTAAAGTACAATATAAAATCAAAGGAGGATGGTAAATAAAGATGATATCTTTGTGTTTTATAACTTCATCTAGAATTAATAATGTTTGATCTTGGCTTGCCATTCTTAAGTGATGTTGTTAATTATCTGTCAATGACCATGCTGCATAGGAGAGTGCCTGGAAAATTTTAGTATTCATTGATGAAACCTTTGAAAAACAGAGTATTCCTCCTTCCTAACTTTTAAAAAAAATGTACTGTTTGTCATGGGACATTATCATCATCATAGCTAGCAGTCACATAGCACTTTAAAAGTTTGCAGAGAACTTCACATATGTAACTCATTTGATCTTCACAACAATAGCACCTAGTGTGCTCCTGTTGTTGTTCCATCATTTCAGTTGTGTCTGATTCTTTGTAACCCCATTTGGGGTTTTCTTGGCAAAGATACTGGAATGTTTTGCCATTAATGTCCTTCTCCAGCTCTTTTTACAGATGAGAAAAATGAGGCAAACAGGGTTAAAGTGGCTTGCCCAGGGTCACACAGTTAGTTAAATGCTTGAGGCCAGATGTGAACTTGAGAAGATGAGTCTGTCTGACTTCAGGCCTAGCACTCTGTCCACTGTGCCATCCAGCCAACAAAACTACCCATGGTTAGTTCTTCAAATCTCCAGTGAGGAGGCCTGGTATTAACTTTGGGTAAGTGGAAAACTATTTTCTCTTTCTTTTGGTGTCCTTTTGTATGATTTTGAACTTTCAGAAATCAGGGATAATTTTTGATGTACAATTTTGGCAATACCCAATAGAACAGACACATAATGATGATGTAATGATGAAGGGGACTAAAGTATATAGATGAGTGAAGAGGAGACCAAGACAGATATCTGCACATGTTAAACTATTGATTAGGGCCTTAAGATATTATTTACTAAATTTCATGCCTTATATAACTAAATGAAAGATCAAGAGTGAATAAATGGTACACAGAAAGGCTAGGAGAAGAGGGCTCTCCAGTGAGCCATAAACTTTGTTCATCATTCAGTGGCTCCCTCAATGAAGGCATTTTCAAACACCTCCAGAGAAAAGTGCATACTTTGGAAATGTTTGTTGAATTGGATTCTATCACTTAATGTGCTTATATCTCCCCTGTCTTAAAAGAGGATCACAGCTTAATCAAGATTCTCTTGCCCCAGTTCCTCTTTTGGGCTGTTATCCTTGATCTCTTCTTGTCTTTATTGGCAAATTTCTAGGAACAGTAATCTCTATTACCTCCACTTTCTCAACCTGTGCACTCCACAGTGTTACCTCCTCCTCGATTCTACTGAAACTGCTCACTCCAAGATCACTGATTGCCTCCCTCCCTGCCAAAACTGCCAAATCCAGTTAGTTTCCTCAACTCTAAAAAATGGGGATGATAATAACCTTGCAGTGTTATTGTGAGGATCAAATGAAATAATAATTATAAAGCACTTAGCACAGTGCCTGGCATTTAATAAGCAAATATAAATATCAGCTATCATTACCATCATTATTACTACTATTGTTGTAAATTTCAGTTCTCATCCCCCTGTGAGCTATCTGATGTACTTGACATTACTGATCATCCTCTCTCTCCTTTATATTTCAGAGATCCAGAGAGTCTAGATTTTCAAAATTTGGTGAGATGTCTCTTAAAATTAGCCAAATATGTAGAGGAAATCATTACATTCAAAAAGTTCAAGAGACATAATCTCTGGGTGGGTAATCATTTTATTAATAATACTAGCATATTATTTGTCATTGTGGGCACGGACTGTCTTGCCTCATTTTGTATCCCCAGCATTTAGCACAGTGCCTGTCACATATAGATACTTGGTAAATGTTTATTGAATTGAATTGGTAAACAGATACAGACACATATAGCTATGCAGCAAGTAGTTCAACAAAGCAAATCTATATGAAAAGAACAGATGAGTCAGTAACATTCTCAAATGCCAAGTGTGAATCATGGTGGCGAGCTCACAGTTTAGATGCCCTTGGAAGAGCAGGTGTTCCTGAAGGTGGCAATCAACTCTGATTGGTTAACAATTAATGAGAGAGAATGAATATTATAATGACAAGTGGACCTATTCTAATGAAGGATTGGGGGAATGTAACTTGGATCATGTCATTTACTTCCAAATCACCCCTAACCTTAGGGAAATCTAGACAAAAGGTCTATATCTCCCTCTACCACCACCACACAAGCCTGAGCAGAACACAGTGGGCTGGGAGTTTCACCTTAGATAAAATTCCTTGTAAGGTTGGATGGGGTAGCATATCTAGATTGAGGAGAATATTAATCCTATCTGCTATCATCAGTCTTGTCCCTCAGAGGCTGAGCCTTAAAATGAGGACTTTGTAAAAAAGTGGGAGAACTCTGGATCTCCCCAAATCATTGGTTATTAATAAT